AACGTGCGTCAAACCACCGGTTAAAGGAACTTAAAGAAAAAAAAAAGTCCTTGATTCATAGGGTATCTAGGAAAGTTGATTTTATTTTGTGTTTAAATTTAGAAGAGAAAAAAGCGAAGGGGGGGGAGAGAATATTTCGTACATACTTTTTTAACAAATCCATCAAATATAATTCCCCCAAAATACAAAATTACACTTAAACTAGTTCACCAACCTCCGCTTTTAATTAAGCACCAGCTTAACCTACTAATCAATCGACGAATATATTACGTAACAAACTCATGTAACCACCAATCACTATTCACCACCCCCCCCCCCAGATCCCTAGATCACTGCATCAGATCATCTCCAGCCGTCAACTCTTTTATCTGGTTGTTGTGTTCTTCGGCCTGGTCACCGCCCTGGTCATCTTGACCACAGACCTGCATCCCTTCAACCTGTTGTCTCACCTGAAGGTCAGCCCAGTCTCAGACTTCTCTCATCTGGCGCCACTGCCTACCGTCCCACCTGACAAGTCACGTGAGTTCCCAGTGTCCTGGTGTAGTGTTTGAATACATGGGATATAGACGTAATGACAGATTTGGGGATCGATATTATCAATCTGTATTATTACATTTACTTTAGTTTCATATTGTCATTTAACTTGTTTAGTATATAAGGTCGCATACACACATATATATATATATATATATATATATATATATATATATATATATATATATATATATAAATATATAAATATATATATATATATATATATATATATATATATATATATATATATATATATATATATATTGGCCTATATATATAAATATATATAGGCTTATATAATATATATATATATATATATATATATATATATATTGGTTTATATATATATATATATATAGGCTTTTATATATATATATATATAAATATATATATATATATATATATATATATATATATATATATATATATATATATATATATATATATATATATATATATATATATAATTGTATTTAACCTCACTGAATCAAGAAAACATAATTTTGCTTATCTCAAATTCCGGATCTCTTTTATGCATGCTTAATAATTCTAAAAATTTATATAATAACAAAATGTCAACACATAAAACAAATACATTGTCAAATATTACATCATACTGTATCATAATGAGACAGTTTTTTTAAAAATCTGTAATATTTTTTTTAGATCTGTTTGAACAAGCTCTTTCGGATAAAGATCTTGCAATGATCACAGATTTGTTGTCAAACTTTGACAGACTGATGAAAGATTCCTCTATAACATACTTCCTATATAAGGTCTGTCTTGCAGTAAAATAAACATTGGAAAGATAAAAAAAATATTAAACTGTTAACCTGTAATGCTAGATTTCTATATGAGATGTGGTGCTTATAAAGTGTGGTTTCGTTTTTTATTTGTGTATGTTGTGGTTTAGTTTTATAGTTATGCATGTTGTAGTTTAGTTTTATAGTTGTGTACGTTGTATTTTAGTTTTGTTGTTATGTTTGTCGTGGTTTAGTTTTATAGTTAAGTATGTTGTGGCTTAGTATTTGAGCAATTGAACTTATAATTTTGTTTAATCTGGCTAATGGTTTCTGTTTGTTGCAGAGTTGAATTATTGTCAAATATGTTTGTATTCTTGTCTTATACTACAGGGTTCAAGTCTTATATTACAGGGTTCATGTCCTATATTATAGCGTTCATGTCATACTACAGGGCTCATATCTTATATTACAGGGTTCATGTCCTATATTACAGGGTTCATGGCTTATATTACAGGGTTCATGTCTTATGTTACAGGGTCCATGCCTTATATCACAGGGTTCATGTCTTATATTACAGGGTTCATGTCTTATATTACAGGGTTCAAGTCTTATATTACAGGGTTCATGTCCTATATTACAGGGTTCATGTCTTATATTACAGGGTTCATGTCTTATGTTACAGGGTCCATGCCTTATATCACAGGGTTCATGTCTTATATTACAGGGTTCATGTCTTATATTACAGGGTTTATGTCCTATATTACAGGGTTCATGACTTATGTTACAGAGTTCATGTGTTATATTACAGGGTTCATATCTTATATTACAGGGTTCATGTCCTATATTACAAGGTTCATGACTTATATTACAGAGTTCATGTCTTATATTACAGGGTTCATGTCTTATATTACAGGGCCCATGTCCTACATTACAGGGTTCATGTCTTATATTACAGGGTTCATATCCTATATTACAGGGTTCATGTCCTATATTACAGGGTTCATGTTTTATATTACAGGGTCCATGTCCTATATTACAGGGTTCATGTCTTATATAACAGGGTTCATGTCCTATATTACAGGGTTCATGCCCTATATTACAGGGCTCATGTCCTATATTACAGGGTTCATGCCCTATATTACAGGGTCCATGTCCTATATTACAGGGTTCATGCCCTATATTACAGGGCTCATATCTTATATTGCAGGGTTCATGTCTTATATTACAGGGTCCATGTCCTATATTACAGGGTTCATGTCTTATATAACAGGGTTCATGCCCTATATTACAGGGTTCATGTCCTATATTACAGGGCTCATATCTTATATTGCAGGGTTCATGTCTTATATTACAGGGTTCATGTCTTATATGTCAGGGTACATGTCTTATATTACAGGGTTCATGTCTTATATTACAGGGTTCACTACTTGGCTCCTACAGACATCACAGTATAATCCGCTGGGATGACGACCTTGACTTTTTTGTGTCCATCACTGATAAGAAAAGACTGAAACAAGTCTTTAGGAACCAAACACTGTATAAGATAGATGCCTCAACTGACAGGTAATTACACGAGTCTTTATGAGCTATATACCAGGTAGATTTAGATGCCTCAACAGACAGGTAATTAGTAAATTACACGAGTCTTCGGGAACAATGTAACAGGTAGATTTAGATGTCTTACCTGACATTTAACTAACTGTAAGACTGGACCCTGTATATATATATACATATATATATATATATATATATATATATAGGCTATATATATATATATATAGCCTATATATATATACATATAGCCTATATATATATATATATATATACATATAGCCTATATATATATATATATATATATATATATATATATATATATATATATATATATATATATATATATATATATATATATAGGCTATATATATATATATATATATATATATATATATATATAAATAGTCTATATATATATATATATATATATATATATATATAGCCTATATATATATGTATATATATATATATATATATATATATATATATATATATATATATATATATATATATATATATATATATATATATATATATATATATAGCCTATATATATATATATGTATATATATACATACATATATATATACATACATATATATATATATATATATATATATATATATATATATATATATATACATACATTTGTATTGAGCAGGCATAAAGTGTACCACAAGGACGGGAGACCCATTAAAGACGTCAGATGGAAATCCCCGTTTCTAGATATCAGTTTCTACAACGAGACCAACACAACAATATGGGACGTAACTCTACCCTCCCAGCTGCCATACCCAAAAAGCATTATCTTCCCATTAACAGAGCGCCCTCTACTCGGTGGCCTGTACCCCTCACCCAAGGACCCTCTGAGAGTTCTACAAGCCAACTACAACATCGACAACTGCTACACTGGGAACTACAACCACACGGGGGAGGTGCGACGCAACGAGAGCAGCATTGCCACCGTTCCGTGTTCGGCGCTCATCGGGACGGTGCCGTTTGTTCAGCACGTCCGGGGGCCGGGAGGGGCGTGGTGCGAGGAGCTCTTGACTTTCAGAGGAAAGATTCTCAGTAAATTTGTGAGGGAGGCTAAGGATATCCCATCTTGTTAAATCTGCTTGCACCGAAAGAAAACCCTATTAACTTTAGGAGAGTGTGAGAGATATTTCATAATTTTAAATCTGACGGAAACGAAGGTATTCTCGTTACGTTTAGGGGAGTGTGAAAGATATTTCATCACGTTAAGTAGGAGTGAAGCGAAAGATTTATACCATCGAATATTATCAAAGAAATTGAAAAATATTTCATCATGTTTAATTCGAAGGAATTGAAATATTCCATGTGTAATTATTTTGGAATATAATGTGTTGGTTCTCTTTCCTATGTAATTGAGGGAGTATTCTGAAGCTACATTTCAGGAAGTCGTCATATTGTGTGCATGTTTTTCTTTTTCCGACATTTACCAAAACTGACCGTTATTTTATTTGTTTTTTCTGACTATGCTTTTTTTAGCAGTGACAAGATCTGGAATATATACTGTAGCTAAGCAGCTGGGATGAGAATTTATATTTATTTTCACAACAATTTACCTAGCAAAGCAAGTCTTGTGTTCTTACACTTAAATAATTCTAAAACACGTTTTACATTGGTGTGGAATTGCTGTTGACCTAGTTTACAATAGATTTTTTTTAACATTTAACACATTTTAGATAAATGTGATTGAAATAATAACATTACAATATCTTTTGTGAAAATACATTGAATTATCAGTTTATATAAATAGTGAAATGAGCAGAAGTGTCTAAGATTTGTCTGGTTACAAGATTCTAAGAATTTGAACTGAGACTAGAATTTTCTATGGCAAAAAGAAACGAATAACATAATAATTTACAAGAGGAGACACTGGGGATTTTTGTTACAAAGGGACGTAACTGATTATATTAAAATTGTTATGGCTCAAATAGTAGAGTTGTTTCCCTATTTCGAACATTACCTGTGATTTGCTTTTGTATGTCTGTCATTGTGTGAAATGAAGCGTGATAAAAATTGTTGCACAACCTAACCCGGTGGTATCTGAATGGTGGATTCGTCAGAGTTTATATTTTTACTCATTTTGATCTGATTGAAGCCATCATTAATTTAAAATAAAGTAATATAATAGTCCATTTT